TTCATGCAAAGCAACCAGGTCTCTCAGCTATTAAACTGATGTACCTAAGTATGTCTTTGAACTGCCAGGGACAAAGGCATGCCAATACACAAAACCACATATTCAGCAGAGTTTCAGAAGTGTTCCTTTAGTTGCCCAAAACATCTACTCTCCCTTAAAATATATTTGCCTTTAAATCATGCTCTTAAGAGACAAAATAAACAGTCTTCTTTAAAAGTAACATAGTTGGTTAACTCACAAAACTTTATGTATACAGCATACAGTTACAGCATACAGGCACTTTGCTTACGAATCCAGTTATAATAGGATATTAAGTAGTGTAGGTAACACAGGGCATCTTCCCCAGAAAACAGCTCTGGCCCAGCTTACTTGTCCAAACGTATGTCCCTCTACGAACCCCCAAGGACATTAAGATCGTCTGGAGAGACCCTACTGTCGGTCCCGCCGCCGTTGTAGTCACGTTTGGTGGGAACGAGAAACAGGGCCTTCTCAGTGGTGACCCCTCGGCTGTGGAACGCCCTCCCTAAGGAGATTAGATTAGAAAGGCATGACCTTGTTTGAAGTCACAACCTTTTGATGTTCACCAGCATTCATGCAAAGCAACCAGGTCTCTCAGCTGTTAAACTGATGTACCTAAGTATGTCTTTGAACTGCCAGGGACAAAGGCATGCCAATACACAAAACCACATATTCAGCAGAGTTTCAGAAGTGTTCCTTTAGTTGCCCAAAACATCTACTCTCCCTTAAAATATATTTGCCTTTAAATCATGCTCTTAAGAGACAAAATAAACAGTCTTCTTTAAAAGTAACAGAGTTGGTTTACTCACAAAACTTTATGTATACAGCATTCAGGCACTTTGCTTACGAATCCAATTATAATAGGATATTAAGTAGCGTAGGTAACACAGGGCATCTTCCCCAGAAAACAGCTCTAGCCCAACTTACTTGTTCCAATGTATCTCCCTCTACAAACCCCCAAGGACATTAAGATCGTCTGGAGAGACCCTACTGTCGGTCCCGCTGCCATCATAGTCACATTTGGTGGGAACAAGAAACAGGCCCTTCTCAGTGGTGACCCCTTGGCTGTGAAACGCCCTCCCTAACGAGATTAGATCTGCCCCCTCCCTCATGACCTTCCAGAAGAAGCTCAAACCCTAGTTATGGGATCAAGCATTTGCAGAATAGATGGTTTTAATGGACTGTTTTTAGGTGACGGCAATGGAGTGAAGATGGTTTTAATGGACTGTGGAACTGACGGCTATGGATTGATTTGGAGGACGACATGAAATGGTGAATTGTTTTAATGTATTTATAACTGTTTTTAATGTAAGTAAAGTGTATATTATGTTGTGCATTGTTCAGCACCGAGTGGTGCCTGTTGTTAGCCGTCCTGAGTCCTTCTTTGGAGGTGAGAAGGGATAGAAATGCTCTTAATAAATAAATAATAAATAACAATAGTCCATAGTCTAAAGCATCTCTTTGTTTTGAGAGTCTGATAAGTCTCTATCTAGTCTCTAAGCATACTGTTACTGAAGTCTAAAAGCAAACAGATGGCTTCTACTAAATGGAGTCTTAGGTCTGAACATGCCCAGTTCTGATCACATGGTCTGAAGCCCCTCCCACAACAAAGAGCTTAGGTAAAATTGCAAACCAATACACGCATACAATACAGTAAGCAATTATATACATAACAAACAACCAGTGGAGGCTTAAGAACGTTACTATTTCCAACACAGTTTATCATCTTAAGGACTCCTTTCTGCTCCTCTGAAGGGGACTCAAAGTGTCTCTCTTCTAATGCTGTAGCCCACTTCCATTTGTCTCACGCCCTTCAAGCTAGCCTTTTTATCTACGAGGCTTGAATGAAAAGTAATGCCTCCACCTTCGTTACTTGGGTTTGGATGGGAATATATTAATAAATCAAATGCAGAAATAATCCTTAGAATGTGCTCTTTTACTACTATTATTCACTTTACCACATAATCATCAGACAATTGGATACATTTCTGCCAACAATGAGCAAGTTTTCTGAAGCCGTCACAGAAGAAGTCGACGCTTTGTTTCTGCAACCAGCCTCCCACAGTTCTTTCAACATCTTCATCAGAAGCATAATGATGTCCCCGCAGATCTTCTTTCATTATTGGGAACAGATGGAAGTCAGATGGTGCTAAATCTGGACTGTATGGGGGATGATCATCCTGAAGCAATCTATCACACTTTTGCTTGTGAAACTCGGTGGTTGCTGTCACAGGACGCCCAACTCTTTGTTTGCCACGCAAGTCAGATGTTTCCACATTAACATCTTTAAACTTACTCGCCCAACGACGCACAGTACTCACATCAACACAATCACCATAAACAGCTTGCATTCTCTGATGAATCTTCCTTGGAGTGACACCTTCTGCTGTCAAGAATTCAATGGCTGCGTGTTGCTTATGTCGCATTGACCGACGGTCTTGCACAGGGTTCCATACTCTGCACTTTAACAACACAACCATTCAATGCCCAGGCTTCCCACCAAAATGGAACAGTAAAGGAGAGTCTACTGAACAAGCCAGTACCTGCCATATACCAGTACTGCCATCTGTTGAGGAGTTACGAAGGTGGAGGCATTAATTTCATTCAGCCCTTGTATATATTGCCCTATAGTGGTTGATTTTGAGTGCTGCATACATACATATATATTTGTTCATTTTGGAGGCCCTGGACTCAAAGGGGGTGTTTTCGTTCATTGAAATCCCATCAATATTTTAAATTGGATTATGAGGGATATGTGTACCACGTTTAGTCCAGATCCATCAAGCTATGTAGGATCCATCAAGCTATGTAGGATCCTTTGTGGAACACACACGTATTCTCTTATAGAGTTATATCTTCTTGATCACACTTTGATGTTGCTTTGCCACTAATGCCCAAGGTTATTTCTGTGAAATGTTGGCAGGTATGTAAACCCTGCCAGCAACTCGGTTTAAACCATAGGGCCAATTTATGCTAGCTACATACACTGCTGAGCCAGCTTGGTGGCTGGTGGGTGTCTGCACTCTGTGGCACCAAGCAGACCCAGTAGTGGGAATAATAATAATAATAATAATAATAATAATAATAATAATAATAACTTTATTTATATACTGCTCCATCTCCCCGAGGGGACTCAGAGCGGTTCCCAGATAACATCACAAAACATACAAAGTAAAAAACAACATAACCATAAGATTAACAAAACAAAACATAAGCATAAAAATTGTCCCCATAACACACATGTGTTAAAAGTAATCCTGCCTGTTCAATGCAATAAAAAAATGTAAAAGGCCGGGCCAAGATTTGTGCAAGCCCAAAAATTCTAGGGGGGCCGGGAATTAAGTGCAATGCTATGGCAGGCAACAATAATATTAGGTACGGTAGAAAGAATCTGGGTAATTGGTAGGAAGAATAAGGCCGTATTCAACAATGTGTAGGGCTGAGTTAGAACTGGTCATTTTCAAAGACTTGTTGAAACCACCAGGTCTTCAAGCTCTTACGAAAGGAGGGGAGGGATGGGGCCTCTCTTATTTCCCTTGGGAGGGCGTTCTAGAGGCGGGGGGGCCACCACTGAGAAGGCCCTCTCTCTCGTCCCCACCAACCACGCTTGAGACAGTAGTGGGACCAAGAGGAGGGCCTCCCCGGAAGATCTTAGAGCAGTGGTTCTCAACCTTCCTAATGCCATGACCCCTTAATACAGTTCCTCATGTTGTGGTGACCCCCAACCACAAAATTATTTTTGTTGCTACTTCATAACTGTGATTTTGCTACTATTATGAATAAATATCTGATATGCAGGATGTATTTTCATTCACTGGACCAAATTTGGCACAAATACCCATTATGACCAAATTTGAATACTGGTGGGGTTGGGATTGATTTTGTCATTTGGGAGTTGTAGTTGCTGGGATTTATAGTTTACCTACAATCAAAGAGCATTCTGAACTCCACCAACGATGGAATTGAACCAAACTTATCACACAGAACTCATATGACCAACGGAAAATACTGGGTTTGGTGGGCATTGACCTTGAGTTTGGGAGATATAGTTAATCTATATCCAGAGAATGGGAGTATTTACAAAAACAAAATGAAAAACTGTCTTTTTCTAATAAATAGTGTGATGAATTACCTAAACTGCTTCTGCTGCTCCTCCTCCTCCTGGTGCTGCTGGGCTGCTCTCAGTCCCACATCATGTGGGCACTTTTCACTCTGACTTGAAGCCTGCCTCGCCCTCTCACCATCTGGCGAGGGTGCGGGGCAGGCGAGGGGGCCTGGCGCAAAGCCTGCCTCACTCTCTTGCCATCCAGTGAGGGTGACGGGCAGGCAAGGGGGCTGTGTGTGAGGCCTGGCCTGGCCTGGTGCAAAGCCTGTCTTGCCTGCCCTGCGCCCTCGCCGGATGGCGGGAGAGCGAGGCAGGGGAGGCGGGCTTTGCATGGGCCAGGCCCGCACAGAGGATGCCTCTCCTGCCTCACCCCTCTGCCAAATGGCGGGAGAGCGAGGCAGGGAGGCAAGCTTTGCGCGGGCCAGGCCCGCACAGAGGATGCCTCTCCTGCCTCACCCCTCTGCCAAATGGCGGGAGAGCGAGGCAGGGAGGCGAGCTTTGCGCGGGCCAGGCCCGCACAGAGGACGCTTCGCCCGCCTCGCCCCCCCCGCCGAATAGCAGGAGAGCAAGGCAGGGGAGGCGGGCTTTGCGCGGGCCAGGCCCGCACAGAGGATGCCTCTCCTGCCCCGTGCCCTCGCCAGATGGCGGGAGAGCGAGGCAGGGAGGCGAGCTTTGCGCGGGCCAGGCCCGCACAGAGGACGCTTCGCCCGCCTCGCCCCCCCCCCGCCGAATAGCAGGAGAGCAAGGCAGGGGAGGCGGGCTTTGCGCGGGCCAGGCCCGCACAGAGGACGCTTCGCCCGCCTCCCCCCCCCCCGCCGAATAGCAGGAGAGCAAGGCAGGGGAGGCGGGCTTTGCGCGGGCCAGGCCCGCACAGAGGATGCCTCTCCTGCCCCGTGCCCTCGCCAGATGGCGGGAGAGCGAGGCAGGGAGGCGAGCTTTGCGCGGGCCAGGCCCGCACAGAGGATGCCTCTCCTGCCCCGCGCCCTCGCCGGATGGCGGGAGAGCGAGGCAGGGAGGCGAGCTTTGCGCGGGCCAGGCCCGCACAGAGGACGCTTTGCCCGCCTCGCCCCCCCTGCCGAATAGCGGGAGAGCGAGGCAGGAGAGGTGGGCTTTGCGCGGGCCAAGCCCCCACGGAGGACGTCTTGCCTGCCTTACCCCCTTGCCGAATGGCAGGAGAGCTAGGCAGGCGAAGCGGGCTTTGCGCGGGGCCAGGCCTCGCCCTTGGGGCGGGGCCAACGGAGGTGGTTTTGCGACCCCTCCAAAATGGCCAGGCGACCCCCCTGGGGGTCGCGACCCCCAGGTTGAGAACCGCTGTCTTAGAGCTTGTGCCGGTTCATAGAAGGAGATGCGATCGCGGAGATAGGTGAGGCCTGAACCATTTAGGGCTTTATAGGTCATGACCTGCACCTTGAATTTGGCTCGGCAACTTATCAGCAGCCAATGAAGCTGTTTTAATAGGGGTGTTGTATGCTCCATACAGTTTGCTCCAGTGAAGAGCCTGGCTGCTGCCCATTGTACCAGTTCAAATTTCCAGGCCGTCTTCAAGGGCAGCCCCACGTAGAGCGCATTGCAATAGTCCAGTTTGGATGTAACCAAGGCGTGGACCACCCTGGCCAAGTCAGACTTTACGAGGTATGGTCGCAGCTGGCGCACAAGTTTGAGTTGTGCAAAGGCCTTCCCGGCCACCGCTTGACACCTGAGCATCAAGCGACAGCGTTGAGTCCAGGAGGACCCCCAAGCTACGGACCTGCGCCTTCAGGGGGAGTGTAACCCCGTCGAGCACAGGTTGCCACCCAATACCCCAGTCGGCCCCGTGACTGACCAGGAGGACCTCTGTCTTGGGAAGGCGCCTGTACAGCTCAGAGGTGTCAAACCCAGTTTAGTAGCACTGAATGACCACCCTTATCCTCCCATCATGTCCTTGGTCTAGCACTGATCACTAAGCACAAAATTGCTGGTGGTCATTACTCATTGTGCATTCAGACTTTGGCTGCAGGGGTGGGAGGAAAGAAGGAACCAGCCTCTCCTTTCCCCTCCCTTCTTCAATTGCTCAGACACAGACAAACAGAAACCAGACACATCTATTCAAACATCCTGAAGCACTAAAATTCAAACCCACGAAAACAAGAACCTTTCATATTTTACCAAAACAGATGTAAATATTCACTAAGATGTGTTTCCCCGAATTTATTAAGGCCTATTAATTTCAGTTACCTACAGAATTGTGAGGAACGGAGAAGAATCGCCACAAACCTGATTTATGAAGCCATAAAGTGGGTGGTTATGAATTTGATTTTGAAATTACTTTGATGTAAAATAAAAATGCAAAAGCTGATATAAAATAAAAATTAAGGGGGGCTTGAGAGAGGGAGAGAGACTTTCCTTCCCACAGAGTTATAACACTCACTTGGTAATCTTGGCATCTTGTCTCTTGGGTTGATTTGCCTCCCAAGATTGTTGTGATGATAAAGTGAAAAAGAAGAGAGCCATGCATGCCACCTTCAGCTGGCTGGAAGAAAGACGGAATTATACATGTGAATAATTACTAAATAAATATGTACTTTCTCCATTTTTTTCTATAGAGCAACCAAAGAGGATTTCAGTATGGCCATGATTTCAGTTGAAGCCTACTCCAGTTAATGTTTTTATGTTATTTTCATTCACAACAAGGAACCCAAGGTATCTTGCAAAGTATAGCTAACATTAGGTTCTTGTGGGTTTTTTCGGGCTATAGGGCCATGTTCTAGAGGCATTTCTCCTGACGTTTCGCATGCATCTATGGCAAGCATCCTCAGAGGTAGTGAGGTCTGTTGGAATTAGGACAATGGGTTTTATATATCTGTGGAATGGCTGGGGTGGGGCAAAGAGCTCTTCTCTGCTGGAGCTAGGAGCTCTTTGCCCCACCCCAGCCATTCCACAGATATATAAACCCATTGTCCTAATTCCAACAGACCTCACTACCTCTGAAGATGCTTGCCATAGATGCAGGCGAAATGTCAGGAGAAATGCCTCTAGAACATGGCCCTATAGCCCGAAAAAACCCACAAGAACCTAGTGATTCCAGCCATGAAAGCCTTCGACAATACATTATAGCTAACATTATTTCTCTTGCCTGTTACGAACCATCACGAAGCTTAAGATCGTCAGGAGAGACCCTGCTCTCAATCCCACCACTTTTGCAAACACGGTTGGTGGGGTTCAGAGACAGGGCCTTCTCGGCAGTGGCCCGCCGTCTGTGGAACTCCCTCCCTAAGGACATCAGGTTGGCCACCTTCCTCCTGTCCTTTAGAAGACAATTGAAGATTTGACTTTGGGACCAGGCATTCGATTAGTGGACAGCGGCAATTGGAAAGAAAATTTAGGACATCTGCGACATTGGATTTACCTTGACTTGGTCTTGGTTTTAATTGGCATGTTAATTTATTGATGAATGAACTTGTTTAATGAATTTGTATAATGTGTTTTAATGATTTTTGCTGTTTTTAACTGTAATCCTTGTTGTTTATATGCTGATAGCATCACATAATGCTTGTGTGAGGCTGCCCTGAGTCTGCCTTTGGGGGGAGAAGAGCAGGGTAAAAATGCATGAAATAATAAATAATAAAAATAATTGCCATCAAGTAATTACATGCAATGGAGCCCCCAGTGGCACAATGGGCTAAACTCTTGTGCCAGCAGGACTGATGACCGAAAGGTTGGCGGATCGAATCTGGGGAGTGGGGTGAACTTTTATCTGTCAGCTCCAGCTTCTCATGTGGGGACATGAGAGAAGCCTCCCACAGAATGGTAAAACAACCTGGCAACCTTGCAAATGGCCAATTCTCTCACAGCAGACGCGACTTGCAGTTTCTCAAGTCACTCCTGACACACACAAAATTACATGCAATAGCTACAGACATGTCTGCATTAATTGTTAATTCCAAGATAAAATTATTTTAAATTAAGAGGTAGTTAAAGGTGTGGTTTTCTTTGCATCCACATAATCTTCCCGTGTTCTGCACTGGACATTACATAGTGGATGCTCATATTTCCCAGGAAAGTGTGCTTTAAATCTCTTAATCTGAGACTTGGGATGGTCTTGCAAGCTCTTATTCTGGGAATGAACATGTTAAAGGAAGGAAGAGAGTAAGGGGATGAGATTATAAGGACGGGGAAATGGAAAGCAAGAGAAAGATTTTAGGTGGGATAGATGAGAAATGGGATTTCAGAAATTAATTTGCCAGTATCACACTAGTATTACACAATTTATCTGTCTGAACGAATCTCTCTTTACAAACCACTGCAGAAACTAAGATCTTCTGGGGAGGCCCTGCTCTCGGTCCCACCACCATCACAGGCGCGTTTGGCAGGGATGAGAGACAGGGCCTTCTCAGTGATTGTTCCCCGGTTATGGAACTCCCTTCCTGGCAGTATTAGATCAGCCCTCTCCCTCCTGTCCTTCAGAAGGATGGTGAAGACCTGGCCGTGGGACCAAGCCCTTGGGGCAGTGCAATAAGGCAAAATAGTGTCCTGAGATGGTTTTTAAGCAACTTTTAATGTGAATATAAGTGATTTTAATGTTTTTATATATTTATGGTTTTGTGTTTGCCATATATACGTTGTGCTCTGCCCTGAGTCCCATGCGAGGTGAGAAGGGCAGAATATAAATGTTTTAAATAAACTGAATAAATAAATAGAACTTAAATAGTAGGCAAAAAGTATGTATCCAACCTGAAATCCTGTGGCTGCCTCCTGCAGAATTCTGGGGCTTTTAGTTTAGGGGAGGGGCCTTTAAAATGCTCAGCCAGAGAGGTCCCGAATCTCACTAAACTACAAGACTTCTGCAGAAGGCAACCACAGGATTTCAGATGGGATGTATACTCGTTGGCTATGCTTTAAGCTATAGAGCAGTGGTTCTCAACCTTTTTTTTTGACCAGAGACTACTTGACCAGAGACCAGGGGCAGCTCAACCCATTACACAAAGTAAGCATTTGCAGTATAGTTGATTTTGCCCAGGGGCGCTCTTGAGGCTCTCTTGGGGGAAAATAGACCTTAACATATGTGAGTTGTAGTTACTGGGATGTATAGTTCACCTAAAATCAAAGAGCATTCTGAACTCCACCAATGATGGAATTGAACCAAATATGGCACACAGAACTCCCATGACGAACAGAAAATATATATCAGTGATTGGTTGGGGGTGGGGGTGCCAAAATACTGTTTGCTTACCATTGAAAATTACCTAGGGCTGCCTCTGCCAGGGACCACTTTGATCAGGGACCACTCTCCAACATTAGTACAAAAAGACTTATGAATCAGGTTTTAGATCAACTTTAGATTCAGTTTGGTTATCTGAGGGGCTGATTCAGAGAATTGCACTGGATAGACAACATCAGCTCTAGTTTCTGAAAAAGAAAATATCTCATCCAATAGTCGCCATCTGCTTGTCCACAGAAAATCACAGAGCTGATGTGGTAGTAGTAATATTTCGTAGGTAGTCAGTCTCTCCCCTCCCAACATCCCTGTTGCCTCATTGCTATAAGAGGGTTTCGTGAGGAGGGCGACTAAAATGATCAAGGGTCTGGAGAACAAGCCCCTATGAGGAGCGGCTTAAGGAGCTGGGCATGTTTAGCCTGAAGAAGAGAAGGCTGAGAGGAGATATGATAGCCATGTATAAATATGTGAGAGGAAGCCACAGGGAGGAGGGAGCAAGCTTGTTTTCTGCTTCCCTGGAGACTAGGATGCGGAACAATGGCTTCAAACTACAAAAGAGGAGATTCCATCTGAACACGAGGAAGAACTTCCTGACTGTGAGAGCCGTTCAGCAATGGAACTCTCTGCCCCGGAGTGTGGTGGAGGCTCCTTCTTTGGAAGCTTTTAAACAGAGGCTGGATGGCCATCTGTCAGGTGTGATTTGAATGCAACATTCCTGCTTCTTGGCAGGGGGTTGGACTGGATGGCCCATGAGGTCTCTTCCAACTCTTTGATTCTATGATTCTATGAGACCAGTTGCTCTCGTTGCTGTGTGGTTTTGAGGCAATTGCTTCAAACTACAGGAAAGGCGATTCCACCTGAACATGAGGAACAACCTCCTAACTATGAGAGCTGTTCAACAATGGAACTC